TATATATATATACATATATATATATATGTCGCAAGATTTCAATAATCCTGGCGCTTTAATTTGACGATGGTTTCTGGTAGTACTTTTAACACTGAACAAAAAATTATATAGATTTTATAGGGCTAACCGCTCTGGTTTTCAAGATATACAGTGTTAAAGTTAAAAATAAATAATATGAATTTTTAAATAATACTTCAATTGTGTGTGTATAAACAGTACACACGTAGGCGGAGGTGGGGGGTAAACCTCGGTTCGCGTGAAAAGTTAAAAACCCGTTTTTTCTTCTATTGTCGCTTGGTATGAAAAGTTGCATTGTGTAAAAATATTTAATATCTGTAACAGAAATAATTTGTTATAGCAGAGAATAGTTAGGATATTGAAAAGTGGCATCTCGTGACGTGTGGAAAGTGTATGCGTGGAGGCAGTAGATTCCGCCCCCTGCGGGGGGCTCCACTATTGTTAAACTAAACTAGTGTGCCTTCAAAGTACATGCGTCGGCTTTCCACGCGTGAAAAGTTGTAAACCCATGTGGCATCTCGTTTCATATCGACAACATATATCAAGGTCATTGAAATCGGTGAGGTCGCCCTTAATCTAAAATTTTACCAACTTTAACACTGTATATCTCGAAAACCAGAGCAGTTAGCTCTATAAGGACTAGTTTCACAAGTGTCGGTTAACTTTTAATCTTAGATTAACTCACTCTTTGTCTTTTTCTAAGGGGGACGTTAGAAGGATGCAAAGAGTGAGTTAATCTAAGATTAAAAGTTAACCGACACTTGTGAAACTGGGTCTAAGACCTCTATAATTTTTTGTTCAGCATTAAAAGTACTATACCAGAAATCATCGTCAAATTAAGGCACCATGGTTATCGGAATCTAACCATATATGTATATATATCTTAGTTTCTTATATATCTATACGAATTTTTATACAGACTGTTCCATTTTAAATGTCCCAGGCAAATATCTCGAAAAATATGGAAGATACGGAAAAATGTTCCAGACAAAAGTTGCATGGTTTGAGGGGGGCCACATGATAAAAATATGCATTTGACCTTGAGTGATCTTTTCAAGGCCAGGTCAATGTGTGAGGAAGCCCATGGTAGATATCTCAAGTTCCCGGGGCCTCCTCACAAAACGCCGCAAGGAACATCTGGGGGGTTTTAGTGGGTTGGAGTCCCACATAACCGCCCTTCCCGCCCCGGGGAAGGGGGTATCCGTGCGGATTTCTCTCCGTTAACAAAAAAAAAAAAGTCAATGTGATTGACGTTTTTTAAAATAAAACTCCCCATTTTATTGCATAGTTTTATAGCTTTTGTCGAAACATTTTTAAAACACTATAATAAAGTTCTATTTCGTTAAGAATTTTCTGAGATATTTCAAATTTTGTCATGATATTTTTAATTGTTATGATATAAAACATGAAATATCTCGTAAAATATTCACTTTTCGATAATTTTATTTTGATACTTTTATACATAGAATAATTAATTTTTACATTTGCAATTTTGCAAAATTGAATACGTCTACAAATTACAATCAAATTTCTTAAAATAATTTTTTTTATATTTTTTTTTACAAAAATCGATTTCTTTTATTATTCTACGTATAAAAATATCCAGGTAAGTCATTGAAAAGTGAATACTTTACGAGATATTCTATATTTTATATTAAAAATATTATAACAAAATTTAAAATATCTCAAGAAATTCTTAACGAAAGAAAGCTTTATTATATGTATAGTGTTTTGAAAACGTCTCGACAAGGGTTACAAGAATATAACATGAAAAATAGGAGGTTAAAAAATTCAAGGTGACCTTGTCCTGACCTTGGTAACGCCACCCAAAGTCACACTGATAAGATCAGTAAATAGATCTTTTTCAACCCTACAACTTTTGTATATAAAATTTTTTCAGAAAACTCCATCCTTTCGAGATATACTGCCGTCCCAGTACTTTTTATACATACTTTTATATACAGAATATTTAAGAAATATTGATTAGTGTACACTGTACAGAATAAAATACGGAACGCATAGCTTTATTTTATTTTAAAAATTTATTGAAGGAAAGCTATTTTAATCTGTAAACAGTTTAAACGATTACAATACAACGATAAACGGGGGAACATGCAGAGTTTATTTAAGTAAATACAAATTAATATAATTCTCTTAAGGATGTTTTGGATGTACTGGTCCAACCAAAAGTCATGGAAATATTAAAAACACCGATATTAACTCTCCAGAGATCCAAAGACAAAAAATGTATATAAATAGTTACGGCAAGTTTAATAGAACGTAAAAGACGTAGATTTAGTGACTATAAATAACTGTTACTACTATTTTTTTCTTAAAAAAAATCTCGGCAAAAAACTTTCGAGAGTGATTTGCCCTGAATTCAACTTAATAAAGTAATTTGTGAAATTTGTGAAAGATTATAAAATTCTATACTGCGCGCCGAAAGTCTGATCGAGTAATAATTTCACTGATTTTTTTCTTTAAAACTATGTTGTAAATTGTTTTAAATTTTATTGCTATATTTTTGTTTGTTGAGGGCCTGCTTGCATGTAAAATATCACTACATTAGTAGCATTTTTAAATGTTTTTTTTTACACTTCTCTAATATAACATAAGATTATGTGTTAAAAAACTCAGTATTCAAATATTGATAACTTTTTATCTAAATTGTGAATCGATCTGAAATTTGACCCCGAACTTTGAAAGAGAATACAGAATACGATATTAAATTTTCATCAATTTCGTAGCATTTTGACAAACCATTCAGAAAATCCTTAAAAATAGCTTGAGGAAAAATCGTTTTATTCAAATAAATGATTTTCTTTAATTCGTCTGTCAATTCGATCATTAAATATACGAATTTATATATATTAATATATTAATACAAATAGAAATACGAAACTGTTTTTTATATTATTATTTTAAAAAATATGAATTTAAGACGATTTTATAAATATATCACTCTTTATAACATTCTCGGTAACATTAATTAGAGAAATTTTTGAAATGCTTGCTGAAATGTTGGCAAATGGACTAAATAATAATATAAACCGTTAAATAATCTCGATATCCATCTCCATCTATTTTCTTTTTCAGAAAGGTATTGGTAATCGTGCCTCGACACGTAAGACGGAGTCCAGCAGTGCCATGGCGACAATCGGGTCATTACAAAAAATCTTACGGTGTGCCTTATGGTCGCTATAAAAAAAAACCATTTCGGCTGCCACAAGGAGGCGATGATTTTGATCATGGTCCTGAACCTACGAATCACGTGAATGTACCGTACGGCAAAGACGTTCGTCACGCAATATCTTTTGGTAAAGGATACATCCCGTACGATAACATCAAGAATTTGCCATTTGTACATGAGAGGTAATATTATGTTTAATATAATTTGTTTTAATTTAAGTTTTTATCTTTAACAATTATATTTTATTTTTATCTTTTTAACTATATTATCTAATTATGCTATTCTAATTATAATTATAGTATACCTACAGTATAATAATATAGTAAAAATAGTACAATGGAATTAATTACGATATAACTGATAAAACTAAAACAGTATAATTAGAATTAGTTATACCATAATTAATTATAATATTATTTTTACAACATAATAATACATGTAAAGATATCTTGTTTCTTTCGGTAAAATTTAGTTGCATACTTTTTATAAAAATATAAATATTGCTTTTTGAATTTGTGTGAATAAATAATCAGGAATTCATACAAAGTACTTTTCACAAACAAACACTTTTACTTTCAAGGATAGTTTTGTAATGGCTAATAAAAATTACATACATATATATTGACATCTATATATTCGAAAGGGTCAACCAGTATTATCCAATACCGGTTAATCTGATACCGGTTTTTTTATCGATTAACTGGTATATTTACCCTAAGTTTCTACTCGTGATCAATTTTTCCTAACACGATTTAAGCTTTCTGTCTTTTTTCGATTCAGATACGCCGGTGCTTACGGACGTCAACCGAATTATCCGCCAACCAGTTTCACATCGGTAGGTCAGGAATACGCGCCATCGGCGACGAATCCGCAGACAGACTCGTTCTTCTCGGACATCTCGGATAGCGATGCCAGGAGCCTAAAAGACAGCATCAACAAATATTACAGCACCCGCTCGATCGAGAAAGACCTAAGCCTGAGAAATCAGCAGGCCCTCAGTAGTCTTATAGAGAAGACCAAGGAGACCCTGGCGAAGACCGAGGCTCTGTCCTCGGGCGCGTCTCCAGCCGCGTACGCCCACGCCGCCACCGCTCCCACTTCCGCTATCATCCCCTCCGCCATCGCCGGGGTACAGGGGGCTGTGTTAGTGCCGGCAGGTATACCGGCGGCGACTATCGCCGGTAACAAAGATGGTATTGTGCTGCGGGACACCGTATCCCTGGACGAGTATCAGAAGAAACTGGAAGAGCTCACCAAGACCTGGCCGAGCATGTTATCCGCCGGCACCAACTTCGCCGGAGCGATTTCTGCGCCCCAGCAGCTGCACGCTAACTTCCCGATCACCGGTCTACCAGGTGCCAGCTTTGGCGCTCCGACCGCCGGTGGCAATTGGATCGCCAGCTTCGCCCAGCCCAAGCAGGGCTACGCTGTGCGCGAAGACCACGGGGATTCCACGACCTACGACTTCAGAACGATGACCGTACAAGGCACCCCGTACCAACAGTTGTCGTTCGGTCATGGGGGTGCGTCGGTTGGCACGGGGATCGTCCCGAGCGCTCATGGGTAGACGAAGAATACACGCAGGAGTGTTAATGCCGCCCGGTTCGCACCGCGCACTCAGCCGTTACATTTCTTTGTAATATTTAAGAAATATATTTATTTTTTTACTTACGTAACTTATAATAATGTAGCTCTACTATTTTACTTTGTATTTAGAGAGCCAAAAGAATCGGCGAACTTCATGTCGTGAAGTCACTTTGTGATGAAGACAAGCGCACTGGACGTCATTGATACTTCTGATTACATGTAATTTTGAGAAATTTAAATTAAATTTCTTCTAACGCAGACACGGCAAAATATAATGTATGCTCATATTTGCCACGAAATGTATAAATATGTGGAGGTCATTTTCGCGCGCCTCTCTTGAGGCGTCGATATCCGATTTATAATGAAATTATATTTAGACTTTAGGAAGTTTCAATTATTCATATGTATATTCCGCAGATATTCCGCAGTGTGTGCGGTAACGACACATACATAAATATGTTATGTGATGTCAGAATCTCAATAGAGTATTTCTAATTTACATAAATCTTATTTAGGATCTCTTATTGGTCTCTATATTTTGATGAGTTAGAACACTATCGTTATCCGCTCTCTCATGTAAGAACTTTTTTTATTTACATTAATGCAAAATTGACTGATCATACTTATGAGTTACAGTTATGTGGATTGTCCAAGAGAAATTCCTGCCCTGAAGGTGTCAAATATTATTGTAGGATTATTTTACACTTATATTACATTTTCATTTTTGAGAGAAGAGAAAGAGAAAAAGAGATAAAAAGGGGGAGAGAAAGAAAGGTTCTTTTTCATTTATCATCATTTATCTGACAATGAGACTGCATATATAAATAACTGTAAATGAAATTCAAATTTTAATAAATCTCAATTATCTGTTTCACATACTCAAAGACGCAGTGTCTTTGAAATTATAAATAAGTAAATAACATGCAATAATACACATAGAATAACTTCAGGGCCATACATGTTAAAAGAATTTAAAATGTTAAAATGTTAAAGGATTTTAATTGAATGTAAAAATAGTAATTGAAATTTGGCACCACATTTTATTAACTACTCAATCCTATTGCTCTATAGTAAATCAAGTATGTTTCAGTAATCAACTTTAGGAAGATGAAAGTTATAATAACAGTAATGAAATCAAACGATCTTATCAGATTATTAATGAGAGAGTGGTGTAAAGTTACGGAAATTTTCTTAACGTTCCAGCTAATTTTACTTTCCCTTTGTTTTGATCAGAATTGAAGTGTGAATTTGTATTTGCAAAATGCTAAATGTCTCGAACAAGTTTTGTCGCGAATCTGTCCATCTCATATATATATATATATATATATATATATATATATATATATATATA